TCCTTCATCTATACAGACACATGTCAGATGGGTGGTGTCCTACATCTATACAGACACATGTCAGTAGGTGGTGTTCTACATCTATACAGACACATGTCAGGTGGGTAGTGTCCTACATCTACAGAGACACATGTCAGGTGGGTGGTGTCCTTCATCTATACAGACACATGTCAGGTGGGTGGTGTCCTTCATCTATACAGACACATGTCAGATGGGTGGTGTCCTACATCTACACAGACACATGTCAGGTGGGTGGTGTCCTTCATCTATACAGACACATGTCAGGTGGGTGGTGTCCTTCATCTATACAGACACATGTCAGGTGGGTGGTGTCCTACATCTATACAGACACATGTCAGGTGGGTGGTGTCCTACATCTATACAGACACATGTCAGGTGGGTGGTGTTCTACATCTATACAGACACATGTCAGGTGGGTAGTGTCCTACATCTATACAGACACATGTCAGGTGGGTGGTGTCCTACATCTATACAGACACATGTCAGGTGGGTGGTGTCCTACATCTATACAGACACATGTCAGGTGGGTGGTGGGTGGTGTTCTACATCTATACAGACACATGTCAGGTGGGTGGTGTCCTACATCTATACAGACACATGTCAGGTGGGTGGTGTCCTACATCTATACAGACACATGTCAGGTGGGTAGTGTTCTACATCTACACGGACACATGTCAGGTGGGTGGTGTCCTACATCTATACAGACACATGTCAGGTGGGTGGTGTTCTACATCTACACGGACACATGTCAGGTGGGTGGTGTCCTACATCTACACGGACACATGTCAGGTGGGTGGTGTCCTACATCTATACAGACACATGTCAGGTGGGTGGTGTCCTACATATATACAGACACATGTCAGGTGGGTGGTGTCCTACATCTATACAGATACATGTCAGGAGGGTGGTGTTCTACATCTATACAGACACATGTCAGGTGGGTGGTGTCCTACATCTATACAGATACATGTCAGGAGGGTGGTGTCCTACATCTACACGGACACATGTCAGGTGGGTGGTGTTCTACATCTATACAGACACATGTCAGGTGGGTGGTGTCCTACATCTATACAGACACATGTCAGGTGGGTGGTGTCCTACATCTATACAGATACATGTCAGGAGGGTGGTGTTCTACATCTATACAGACACATGTCAGGTGGGTGGTGTCCTACATCTACACAGACACATGTCAGGTGGGTGGTGTTCTACATCTATACAGACACATGTCAGGTGGGTGGTGTCCTACATCTATACAGACACATGTCAGTAGGTGGTGTTCTACATCTATACAGACACATGTCAGGTGGGTGGTGTCCTACATCTATACAGACACATGTCAGGTGGGTGGTGTCCTACATCTACACAGACACATGTCAGGTGGGTGGTGTTCTACATCTATACAGACACATGTCAGGTGGGTGGTGTCCTACATCTACACAGACACATGTCAGGTGGGTGGTGTCCTTCATCTACACAGACACATGTCAGGTGGGTGGTGTCCTACATCTATACAGACACATGTCAGGTGGGTGGTGTCCTATATCTATAGAAACACATGTCAGGTGGGTGGTGTCCTACATCTATACAGACACATGTCAGGTGGGTGGTGTCCTTCATCTATACAGACACATGTCAGGTGGGTGGTGTCCTACATCTATACAGACACATGTCAGGTGGGTGGTGTTCTACATCTATACAGACACATGTCAGGTGGGTGGTGTCCTACATCTATACAGACACATGTCAGGTGGGTGGTGTCCTACATATATACAGACACATGTCAGGTGGGTGGTGTCCTACATCTATACAGACACATGTCAGGTGGGTGGTGTCCTTCATCTACACAGACACATGTCAGGTGGGTGGTGTCCTTCATCTATACAGACACATGTCAGGTGGGTGGTGTCCTATATCTATAGAAACACATGTCAGGTGGGTGGTGTCCTACATCTATACAGACACATGTCAGGTGGGTGGTGTCCTTCATCTATACAGACACATGTCAGGTGGATGGTGTCCTACATCTATACAGACACATGTCAGGTGGGTGGTGTCCTACATCTATACAGATACATGTCAGGTGGGTTGTGTCCTTCATCTATACAGATACATGTCAGGTGGGTGGTGTCCTACATCTACACAGACACATGTCAGGTGGGTGGTGTCCTACATCTACACAGACACATGTCAGGTGGGTGGTGTCCTACATCTATACAGACACATGTCAGGTGGGTGGTGTCCTACATCTATACAGACACATGTCAGGTGGGTGGTGTCCTACATCTATACAGACACATGTCAGGTGGGTGGTGTCCTACATCTATACAGACACATGTCAGGTGGGTGGTGTCCTACATCTATACAGACACATGTCAGGTGGGTGGTGTCCTACATATATACAGACACATGTCAGGTGGGTGGTGTCCTACATCTATACAGACACATGTCAGGTGGGTGGTGTCCTTCATCTACACAGACACATGTCAGGTGGGTGGTGTCCTTCATCTATACAGACACATGTCAGGTGGGTGGTGGGTGGTGTCCTTCATCTATACAGATACATGTCAGGAGGGTGGTGTGCTACATCTATACAGATACATGTCAGGTGGGTGGTGTCCTACATCTATACAGACACATGTCAGGTGGGTAGTGTCCTACATCTATACAGACACATGTCAGGTGGGTGGTGTCCTTCATCTATACTGACACATTGTGAATGATAATCTGATTGCAAGAGACAATCATGTAACCTAAAAGATTATCTAATTGTAAGAGACAATCCTGCAACATGAATGATTAACTGATTGTAAGAGACAATCGTTGAATGTGAAGGGTTATCTGATTGTTGGAGCCAATCATGTAACCTAAATGATTATCTGATTGTAAGAGACAATCGTGTAACATGAATGATTATCTGATTGCAAGATACAATTGTGGAATGTGAAGGGTTATCTGATTGTAAGAGACAAACGTGTAACGTGAAGGGTTATCTGTTTGTAAGAGACAATCATGTAACGTGAAGGGTTATCTGATTGTAAGAGACAATCGTGTAAGGTGAAGGGTTATCTGATTGTAAGAGACAATCGTGTAACGTAAATGATTATCTGATTGTAAGAGACAATCGTGTTAAGTGAAGGGTTATCTGATTGTAAGAGACAATCGTGTTACGTGAAGGGTTATCTGATTGTAAGAGACAATCGTGTAACGTGAAGGGTTATCTGATTGTAAGAGATAATCATGTAACATGAAGGGTTATCTGATTGTTAGAGACAATCGTGTTACGTGAAGGGTTATCTGATTGTAAGAGACAATCGTGTAACGTGAAGGGTTATCTGATTGTCAGAGATAATCATGTAACGTGAAGGGTTATCCGATTGTTAGAGATAATCGTGTAACGTGAAGGGTTATCTGGTTGTAAGAGACAATCATGTAACGTGAAGGGTTATCTGATTGTAAGAGACAATCGTGTAAGGTGAAGGGTTATCTGATTGTAAGAGATAATCGTGTAACGTGAAGGGTTATCTGATTGTTAGAGACAATCGTGTAACGTGAAGGGTTATCTGTTTGTAAGAGACAATCATGTAACGTAAATGATTATCTGATTGTAAGAGACAATTGTGTAACATGAATGATTATCTGATTGCAAGATACAATCGTGGAATGTGAAGGGTTATCTGATTGTAAGAGACAATCGTGTAACGTGAAGGGTTATCTGATTGTAAGAGACAATCTTGTAACTCGAAGGGTTATCTGTTTGTAAGAGACAATGATGTAACGTGAAGGGTTATCTGATTGTAAGAGACAATCGTGTAAGGTGAAGGGTTATCTGATTGTAAGAGACAATCGTGTAACGTGAAGGGTTATCTGATTGTAAGAGACAATCGTGTAACGTAAATGATTATCTGATTGTAAGAGACAATCGTGTAACATGAAGGGTTATCTGATTGTAAGAGACAATCGTGTAATGTAAATGATTATTTGATTGTAAGAGACAATCGTGTAATGTAAATGATTATCTGAGTGTAAGAGACAATCATGTAACGTGAAGGGTTATCTGATTGTAAGAGACAATTGTGTAACGTGAAGGGTTATCTGATTGTAAGAGACAATCGTGTAACGTGAAGGGTTATCTGATTGTAAGAGACAATCGTGTAATGTAAATGATTATCTGAGTGTAAGAGACAATCGTGTAACGTGAAGGGTTATCTGATTGTAAGAGACAATCGTGTAACGTGAAGGGTTATCTGATTGTAAGAGACAATCGTGTAACGTGAATGATTATCTGATTGCAAGATACAATCGTTGAATGTGAAGGGTTATCTGATTGTAAGAGACAATCGTGTAAGGTGAAGGGTTATCTGATTGTAAGAGACAATCGTGTAACGTGAAGGGTTATCTGTTTGTAAGAGACAATCATGTAACCTAAATGATTATCTGATTGTAAGAGACAATCGTGTAACATGAATGATTATCTGATTGCAAGATACAATCGTGTAACGTGAAGGGTTATCTGACTGTAAGAGACAATCGTGTAACGTGAAGGGTTATCTGATTGTAAGAGACAATCGTGTAACGTGAAGGGTTATCTGACTGTAAGAGACAATCGTGTAACGTGAAGGGTTATCTGATTGTAAGAGACAATCGTGTAACGTGAAGGGTTATCTGATTGTAAGAGACAATCGTGTAACGTGAAGGGTTATCTGATTGTAAGAGACAATCGTGTAACGTGAAGGGTTATCTGATTGTAAGAGACAATCGTGTAACGTGAAGGGTTATCTGACTGTAAGAGACAATCGTGTAACATGAAGGGTTATCTGATTGTAAGAGATAATCGTGTAACGTGAAGGGTTATCTGATTGTAAGAGACAATCGTGTAACGTGAAGGGTTATCTGATTGTAAGAGACAATTGTGTAACGTGAAGGGTTATCTGAGTGTAAGAGACAATCGTGTAATGTGAAGGGTGCTCTGTTCCCAGGTGACCGCGGACAACTGCATGGACCTGCTGAGCCTCTCTGAAAGGTTTGTGTTGCCAGGTCTGAAGCAGCAACTTCTGGTTGAGGTGTCATCCTGTTTGAAACCTCTGACAGTAACATCGGTCTACAGGACGGCCAAGGAACTACAGATACCAAAACTGAAGGACGAGTGTGCGAGTTTCATGGCAGACAACATTGATCAGGTGAGTTTGGGTCAATGTGCAGTGACACAAGAACATACTATCAAACTGAGGCAACCAGTTCCTTTTGCAAATAACTGTCCCCAGTACCCATATTTGCCATAAGTCACTGTTGTCCTGTGTGGGTAGTCTGTCTCTCAGACCCTTGAGAATAAATTAAAAAGGAATTCAACTCAAGTCTAGAATGATTTAGCAAGTCTAGATTGCCTCAGAGTCAGACCCTGAAATTAAGAATTGTTCTGGACTTCTTTTGGATTTTATATTTATTTTGTAGATATATATTTTTAAATGAGATACTGGTAACTTTATTTCTGGGTCTATATGATGGTGTACTTTGAGGGGAATACGGCTGTATATATCCCCAGTGCCCCATATTTGTTGTTAGACAGACTGTGATGTAACCGAAATGACCCAATCTCACACCCTCAGATGTCAACAATGCCTGAGTTCCCGGAGTTGCTGAAGCTGGAGGCGTCCTGCAACACACACAGCGAGCTGATAGAGAACATCCAGTACTACATCCGCAAAGACAGCAACACGTCGCACAAACAACAACTGGCCAATCACAAGCTGTCTTGTCTCCAGAACGCCCTCAATGCTGCTGGCATTCAGGAGAATGTGCCGTTTCTGATGGTGGAGACGGGGCAAACCACAAGGTCTGGCGCATTCACTCACCCAGGCAGAGCCAGGAAGAAATCTGACAGTGATTGTGTGATTTTGTGAAGATTTAGACAGATATGAATGTTTCACTGAATGCTCAGTGTTTTTGTTCAACCTTGGTGTGCCTCACAACTGGCGTTGTATGACCTTTGTGGATGTTCAAGGTTCGAACTACTTCATTTTGTGTGTTCTAGGCAGGGACTGGTCCATTTTACCTGTTCAAAATTTGAACTGGGCCCTTTTGCCAGTTCAGAATTTCAACTTGGCCAATTTACCTTTCAGAATTTATGAGTGGATAAATTTTATATTCATTGGCTTACATAACATGCAAAATGATGACATGACTATACGAAGTGTGATATAACATGTATTTAACATAACATCTTGAAATTACTTATTGACATTGCTTAATACAGCCATGTCTGTTTAGCTAATAATATTAATTTGACATATATCATTTTACCTCGGCACACCTCACTAGTGAACTGCTACACTTTCAGCGTACATATCAATATATATGTGGTTGTGCTTCTTAAGGTTACCAGTGTTGGTCCGCTTTTCGCCAGTTTAACTTTCCACTTAATCACTGAAATATGGAAAGTTTGAAAGCTAAAAATCAGTCTTGTATTAGATTTTAAAACTCTGATTTTAGAAGAGAGAAAGAACAGAAAATGGTAGTTTGCTATATATGTGTTTTTTATGCCTTGATCTGGAAGTCTGAATTTCAGACCCATTTTCAATGCAATCATAAATCTGATTTTGTTAATTTTTCTTTTTTGACTCTCTTTCATATTTGTGGTTTCATGTGGAAACTCATCTTCCTGAGGCAAGGGAGTTTACTGACTGTAAAAGTCAAGTTTCCACCCTTGCCGAACTAGGTTGGAATTTCTGGGCATGATTGTACTGCCACCAGTGACTATTAGGAGTTATGTCCCTTCTATGTCCCTCCTGACCAATCCCTCCCCCCCCCCCCCTCATATCACTTGCATTTGCTTCAAATAAAATGGTGTCGCCCAGTGAAGACGATGTGATCGATAATCAAGATCTATTTTGTAATAAAATAGGTCTTACTTCGCGGATCAAATCACATGATCACCTTGATTAATAACATGAAAAGATTTGAAAAATATCTGTTGATGCTAAATTGACGGTACACATGCTTAGCAAATTCTGCAATCAACCGAAATCTGCATGGCAGTTTACGAACCGTATGTCGATTTTGTTATGCTATTTTGATTGGACTATGCAAAGACTGATTAGTCCAGCCAAAATATAACTCCATAATTCCAGCCTAGTTTCGAAACTGGTCTTTTATCGTCAGTCTGCTCCCTTGCCTCGGGAATATGGTGGAAACTAGTCTGACAAATTTACAGATATTGCCAAGACTGGCATTCAAAAGATGCCATACACCACATTTTAATAAGTCTTTTTTTAGCTCGCTGGGTCCGAAGGACCAAGGTGAACTTATGGGATACGGAGGCGGTGGCGTCCGTCGTCCCTCCGTCCGTTGTCCGTATGTCACCAATTTAATCAAACGTCTTCTTCTTCTTCTTCCACAAATTGGAAATTAACAAAATTTTACTGGAAGCATTCCTAGGTGGTGAGAATTCAAAGTTCCACAAATGGTGGGGCTGACCCCACAAGGGTCTGAGGGGCAGGGTCAATTAGGGGTAATTTGGCTATATTGCTTTAAACGTCTTCTTCTCTAGACGGACGGTCGAGTAGCCTAGTGGTTAAAGCGTTCGCTCGTCATGCCGAAGACCCGGGTTCGATTCCCGACATGGGTACAATGTGTGAAGGCCATTTCTTGTGTCCCCCCGCCATGATATTGCTGGAATATTGCTAAAAGCGGCCTAAAACCATACTCACTCACTCACTCTTCTCTAGAACTAAGAGATAGATATCAATCACATTTGGTTGGAAGCATTCTCCGGTTTTGAGGATTCAAAATTGTACAAATGGAGGGGCTGAACCCCCAAGGGGCTGAGGGGCAGGACCGGGGCCAAATAGGGGTAATTTGGCTACCGGTATATTGCTTTAAACGACTTCTTCTCTGGAACTAAGGACTGCTTCCAGCTTTATGAAGGCGGTCTGTAAATAATCGAGTCTGGACCAGACAATCCAGTGATTGATATAATGGGCATCGATTCACTCAATTTGGATCAATGCATCAACCAAGTCAACGAGCCTGACCACCAGATCCCGTTAGTCGCCTCTTAAGACAAGCATAGTTGCCTTTTACAGCAAGCATGGGTCGCTGAAGACCTATAATTCTACCCCGGATCTTCACGGGTCTATAACCATATGTACAATTGAGAGTATAATGAGAGGAATGCACATATGCTACCTGGACTGGCCCTTCTATTTATCTGTCCGGCACTCCTAAAGGAGTTAGAACCTTGACCATAACATGCAAACCGATATTATCCCCATCCTATAATAAACAGATACATTGTATACATTTGTTTGCTATGAAGAGCGTAATACCTTTGATATGATTTATCCTGGATCATACATGGAAACGGTTCAGATCTTTATGCTACATTTGTATGTAGAGAAATACACGTTCATGCTGTCCGCTTTACCATCCACCCATTTTAAATTCTGACAGAGTCAAAATTATGAAATATTTGCAGTATTGTATACATGTACAATGCAAATGTATATTTTGTCATGATTGCGTTAATATCCAGGTGAGCGATACAGGCCCAATGGCCTCTTGTTTAAAATGATCATAGGAGTCTTGTGGAGTCTCCAACATTGGGTTTGTTAACTGTTGTGAGCTATATGTGATATTGTGAGCAAATGTGTGAGATGATATTCTTTTGTACACTGTTGACCATTAGTACTGTAATATTGTTGATGTTTATTTATTTTTAGTGGAAAGTGTTTCACTGAGGTATATAGGGGCGGTTGGGTAGCCTAGTGGTTAAAGCGTTCGCTCGTCACGCTGAAGACCCGGGTTCGATTCCCGACATGGGTACAATGTGTGAAGCCCATTTCTGGTGTCCCCCGCCATGATGTTGCTGGAATATTGCTAAAAGCGGCATAAAACCATACTCACTCACTGAGGTATATTTTCTAATCCTTTAACACATCCTTTGGGAACAGGTGTTAATACTCTAATATGAGATGATATTCTTTTGTACTCTGTTGACCATTAGTACTGTTTAATTGTTGATGTTTATTTCTTTTCAGTGGAAAGTGTTTCACTGAGGTATATTTTATAATCCTTTTACACATCCTTTGGGAACAGATATTAATACTCTAATAGGCATTTTCTCATACAGAGAAATAAATTAGTTAGTCTGAAACTTGGTTTGTCTTGTTTTGACTCTGTCAACAGTGTGTTTATTTGTTTATTCCTTTTGTTTATAAGGTTACCTCAACAGATATCGCCATTCTTGTTTACGTACATGTAAAATTGACATCTATGCCTGGACTGCTGGCACAAATATTCTCACAATATACACTTATGACTCTCTGTGTCATGAGTGAGTGAGTTAGTGAGCTGGGTTTAACGCCTCTTTTAACAGTATTTAAATTATATCACTGCGTGTTGGCTCAATGTGGGGGGAAATCCCCAAATCTCAGACGTTTACCTGTCTGTTTGTTGTTTAACGCTGCACTCGGCAATATTCCAGCTATATGACTGTGGTCTTGAAATAATCAAGCCTAGACCAGACTATCCAGTGATTGATATCATGAGCATCAACCCACGAAATTGGTTTGTTTGTTTGTTGTTTAATGCCGCACTCAGCAATATTCCAGCTATATGACGGCAGCCTGTAAATAATCAAGTCTGGCCCAGGCAATCCAGTGATTGATATCATGAGCATCGATCCACACAATTGGGATACGATGACATGCATTAACCAAGTCTTGGAGCCTGACCACCCGATTACGATAGTCGCCTCTTACGACAAGCATAGTCGCCTATTACATATCCGTGTCATCGTCAATCACTGGATTGTCTGGTCCAGACTCGATTATTTACAGACCGCTGTCATATAGCTGGAATATTGCTGAGTGCGGCATTAAACAACAAACAAACAAACAAACAAACACTATGTTGATTGACTTTCCCCCCCAAAATATTCTTTTCATGGGTAAAACCAACCGCAAATGAAGTACATATTTGATATGACAGATATTTGCTTACTTTTGTAATATAACATTTACCTCTTGTGATCTAGATTTAAACTAAAATTCTGCATATGGCTGCTCATATGAGTGATAAAATGTACTCAATCTTTATGACCGTGCAAACGAACATCAACTTAACTTGATGGCAGTAGGGGCGGTGGGGTAGCCTAGTGGTTTAAGCGTTGGCCGTCATGCCGAAGACCTAGGTTCGATTCCACATTGGGTACATTGTGTGAAACCCATTTTCCTGTGTCCCCCTCCCCCGTGATATAGCTGGAATATTGCCAAAAGCGGCATAAAATCGTACTCCCTCACTCACTCACTTGACGGCAGTAAGTTGACTCATATAATTGTCGTAGCCCTCAGATAGCTTTACCCGTCGTATCATCCCTGTTTGACGACGATTCATTGACACATGTTCATGGCATAGTTGGCTGACTGCTTCTTGTAAACTTCTTAGGATGTTGATGATTTCGAAATTGCCCGTAGACAAAAGAAATAAATTTGAAAATAAGACCTAAATATTAATTATTCTAATATACATATTGAATTATTATGTGGCAAATGCATGTCAAATATTAAATTTCAAATGACAGTAAATATGATGCAGTGCGACCAGACGTGATGCTCCAAAGATATATTTTAATATTTTACTGGCGCTTCACAAACTCTTTACTATTGAATATAAACAATGTTCGACGAAATGATAATAATTTAATTATGATGGATAGTTACATACATTTATCGGCTGATACCTCGGCGTTGCCCAGACGGTGCTGCTACTGGTCACAGCTGTCACAGAAGTGGATGTGGTCTCGTCCCTCTATCGCGCATGTAACGCTATTCGCCGTTTCGAAACGAATGATATACATGTTGCTGTCCAACAGGTTGCCTTCTGCCTCAATCATTTCAGCTGACCTGACCCCCTTCTCACTTGTGGGAGTAGGGAATACCTATCTATCAGGAGTTTAAGTATTGATAAAATTTCCGTTTTTGTTTAAGGACATTCCCCAACTACATTGAATTTACTTATTATTGTACGACTCGCAGATTTACATATTTCTTTGTCAGTAAAATTCAAATCTTAAAACTCATGCAGCCAAAGACCAAGATATTTATAAGCATTAGTATTTTCTATTTAATTATTTCCACAAGTAAGCAAAAATTCAATTTTTCGATAGAAAGAGGGCGATACTGAACAATTTTAGTCTTTATGATATTGATTTGCAGTCGTTATTTTTTACACCAAAGCATGGGCTGTAATGACATTTCATCAGCTGCAATAAGATCAATATCATCTTCATGCTTAATACAGAAGTAATTGCAACACCACAGTTTAGCCTGTTAATTTCCATCACCAAGTCGTTAATAAAAACGGAAAATAAAGTTAGCGATAGCACACACCCTTGTCTCACGCCACTGAGATGACTAACCATAGACAGATACCCTTGATTTTTGGTTCTCATAAAAAGACTTTATGACTAAACAAAATTTACCCTTCATCCCAAGTTGGTGTACAGTAAACTACGGTTATAACGAACTCAAAGGGACTACTAATTTTATTTCTACTACTAATTTATAACCGTAGTTCGATATTAGCATATATACAGCATAACTACAGCAAATAGTCGGGACGAAAAAAGTAAGTTCGTTATATCCGTCAGTTTGTTATAACCGTGGTTTACGGTAGTTTATACCAGAGGCACTCTCTGTTTACCCTGCGAAGGCTTAATGGCGTCAATGTAACAGACAAAGGTGGAGCTTTTAGATATTTTCCTGTTATTAATAA